CACAACGTTGTTCCAGGAAGATGGAGCACCGTGTCACACTGCTAGAAACACCCAAAAGTGCCAGGAATAAAATGGTATACAGAAGTTGCCTGGCCAAGCCAATCTCCTGACATGAACCCCATCGAAAAACCTCTAGGCCATATTCGACCAGCAAGTAAAGAAACAACCAAAAAAACCAACTTTGAAGAGTGATCTACTCCAAGGTTTGAAGCAAGAGTGGGCAAAAATCCCACAATCTAAAATTGACAAGATGATTTTCACGATGCCCCAAAGGATCAACGAACTCCACGAAGCGAAAGGAAGATCTACTAGATATTAATTAAATTATAAATATATCAATTCATGTGAATATAACAGAAAAATTTCATTTTTTCTGAAAAGGTGGTGTCTATTTACTTGTGACCACGCTGTGTATATGCCGAGGCTGTAGAGTATAACATGGAATATATACCAAACATGTATATTTTTATAAAGTAATCATGAATAATATGTGGACTATTCAAATGCATGTGTCTATAGAGTATTTAGACTGTTTAGCTAATATACAGAACCACTGGTCTGTTTAAATTAATGTGAGTGAAGTATATGGAGACAGGTGTGTGTGTGTGTGTAGACTGGTGTAGCACATGGAGCAGTTAGACTGTTTTTATGGCTTTATATACAGTGATTAGACACTTTGAATGAATGTACATACAGTGTGTATACTGGTGGCTAGTACAGAACTATAGATAACTTGAATGCATTAACCATTTCATTGCCATGGGCACTTATATGTCCATCTCTAGATCACTCTCATGGCAGTTTGGAATTTTTACCACCATGAGGAAAGGGTATTCCTCTTGAAACTTCCCATTGTTTACCAGTTTTAAATAATGAAATATTAAACACGTCTTTCTTTTTTTTTATTGTCATTAAAAAATAAACCTGACACTGGTAGAGTTCTTCATGTGTAAATACGACAGTGAAAGAGTTGATGCAGAGTAAATAGAATATTTTCTATTATGCGTAGCTATTAGATTGTTAGAATCCATTTATACAGAGTATTGAAACTGGTGGCTACAACACAGAAACATTAATACATTTGCATGTATCTATGTATAGTGTCTAGACTGATTGCAGATTTAAAAAATCATTAGGTTGCTTGACTTTGTATATAATGTGTATCGAATATTAGTATAAAGAGCCATTAGACAGCTTGATAAATATATATCTAGTGTGTATGTGTGTGAAGGTTGAATAAATGTATGCTGTGTGTATGTAGAATGATAGCTAGCTTAGAGACCCACTGATTGTTTGAATAGATGTACATCTTGTGTTTAAGTAGATTGATAGCTGATCTAAAGAATCATCAGATAGTTTATATAGCTGTATATGTTGTGTTTAAGTAGATCGATAGCTGATTTAAAGAACCATCAGATAGTTTGTATAGATGTATATGTTGTGTTTAAGTAGATCGATAGCTGATCTAAAGAA